TTGTCCAGTCATGGGGCCCGCGGCTTGAGTAGTTCGTGGGGTCGTATTAACGATTTCAAAATGTTTAATAAATGATTTCTTAAGCAAAGAGATCTTGTGAACTGGTAATAGAGTCTATTGCTGTAAGCCTAGATAGGATGCGGAGAGTGCATCCTCGGGGGCAGAACCCGAAACTCGGTCCGGGTAGGCGAGGCACTTGGTTAGGTAAGTAATTTGTACTAATTACTTGCTGAAGCCTGTAAAACGGTTATTTACGGTTATATTTCCTTTGAGAAAAAGGATGTGAGGTTCCGGCTGTTCTGTCGGGACTGAATGTCTTATTTTATTTACTTATTTATTTATGTATTCCCTCGTACATTTATTATAACGTTTATTTCAAATTATATCCTACTGGGCCTTTCACTCACGTTTTATGTTTTAAATGTACTAAACCCCTCCCAGGAGATTCTAGGAGCGGTGCACAGTAGCTGGATATTTGATACGGAGCAGCTGAGTTGTGCTGCTGTTGGAATCAAGTGAGGATCGTGGACATCCTCTTGGACAAATGTAAGGAATTTGAGAAATTCTGTAAACTTATATCATATTTGGATTTACTAGACTGTGGTTGATGTCTGTTGTAATGATTAATTACATGTTCATGTATGTACGGCACTGTATGTCCTGTGGGGTGGAGCCCTTTGTGTCAGAGACTCCGGGATTCTGTAATTTATTTATATTTTAATGCAGTTAAGTGTGGGGCCCGGTCTGGGAATCTGCTTTATTAATCCATAATCGAGCTCCACGTCACCCACCTCGTTTTGGGGGGCGTGACACAGCCTTACAGGCGAGTCTTACACCTCAGATAAAGAGGCGTCACTATAACTCCTATTAAGGGTCCGTTTAGTTCGTTGATTCGAGTTTTTAATTCAAGTTGAGATATGACTTTATATGAAAGTTTTTTACTGTAACAAAAAAATTAAACGTGATTATTTTTTAAAATTTTTTACTGTAATAAAATTCAAATCGATAAAATGGACGAGACCTAAATATTCTAACGGTAATGGTACATAATAGTATGGTCTTAACCTTTCTAACTCGAGTACTAGACTAATAAGAAACAATCATTAAGGGCCCGTTTAGTTCGCTGATTCGAGTTTTTAATTCGAGTTGAGATGTGATTTTATGTGAGAGCTTTTTACTGTAGCAAAAAAGTTAGATGTGATTGTTTGTGAGAGCTTTTTACTGTAACAAAACTCAAATTCTAAACTCGAATCAGCGAAATGAACGGGACCTAAATATTTACTATTCCCAAACGCGCAAACTCCTCAACACAATTCCACCGCTAGGCCATGCGAAAGCCTGTAGTAGCTGTCAATTAGTTAATGGGCGAGAAGACCTCCAAAGTCCAATCGATAAAGACTTGTAAGTAATGCTAATAAAAATAAGTTAAAGGACAATGCATGCTCACGGACAACACATCACTCGACTCAATTAGCTGTCAATTAGTTAATTGGCGAGAAGACCTCCAAAGTCCAATCGATCAAGACTTGTAAGTAATGCTAATAAAAATAAGTTAAAGGACAATGCATGCTCACGGACAACACATCACTCGACTCAATTAAATGTATTTTTAATTTAAATTGAGATATATTTTTTAAAATTTTTTTAATTATAATAAAAAAAATTATATATAATATTTTTTGATTTGAACTGAATGTTACATTATTTTTAAAAGTTTTTAATTATAATAGAAAAAATTATATATAATATTTTTTAAAAATTTTTAATTATAAAAATTTAAAATTAAAAATTTACATAGGTGAAATTAATAAGGCCTGAATATGATATCATAGGTATCCACGTGTTTTATCGTTTAACTTTCCTAGTCGATAGGCTTTGATTATTCTTTTTTTTTTTTTTTTAATTATAGTAACTTTCCATCTCATCCATTGACCAGCTTGCCAATGCAGACCAGCAGACGTCCGATTTGGGTTGCAATTTCTTTGTAACTTTTCAGCTCAACGTTCTTTTCGGATCATGACGAGGCCTCGTTCACTTTATTGATTTGAGTTTAGAATTTAAGTTGAGATGTGATTTTATGTGAGAGTTTTAAACTGTAGTAAAAAAGTTAGATGTGATTGTTTGTGAGAGTTTTTACTGTAAAAAAACTTGAATTCTAAATTCGAATCAGCGAAATAAACGGGTTAATGTTTATGTATTTTGGCTCTCCAAGAATTTTTCTCTTTCATTTTAGTCCTTTTTCTTTATCTTTTTTGGCTACTTGCCCTAAAACTTAATTTTTTTTTAATTTAGTTTCTTTTTGGGCTATTATATGCTTTTAATCACAATAATTAAAATTTAATATACGATTACTCTCTACAAGTATAGCACGTATTTTTCAACTAGTACGTAAAGATATGAGTACTTTTGTGAAACAAGAAAGAATATTGAAGTAAGAATATTTGTCTTTTTTTCTAAAAAAGTCATGGAAACGACTATCAACGTTAACATATTTCGTGAGCCTTATTAAAAGAGCCCCTAAATGTTGAGAAAAATATTGGTTAAAAGTCCTAAGATGAGCCCTATCCCTCATACGAGGAGCACGTCACTTTAAGTCTACCGAATGTGTTAATAATAAGAGCATGTGGAGTCATGATCTAAGACGCCCTATATTATGTATTAAACTTATAGGAAACAACCACGAGGTTCATTTAGTATGAGGGTTTAAATTAGGGTGATTCAAGTTTTAATTTTGAAATCAGAATTATGATTCATGATTTTGGGTCCAAATCATAGTTCTGAAACTATAACCAGAATCATGGATTTAAACAACCCAAAACCAAGAGGGTGGGTGGCTTTAAAATCATGAGTGATTTATGATTTAAAACATTACATCATAGTTCAAACCTTAAATCAGAACCATCCAAACCAAACATGATTCTGGGTGAGTAAAATTAAAACCACTTTTTATTTTTTGTAAACAAACACTAAATTAAACTCATAATTATGATTTTCAGTTCAAAATTTTTATACCAAACGGTCACTTAATAGCTTACACTTGATGGTAATTAAGAATAGTTGTAGTTGTTAGTCAAGTGGCGAGACGTACATGGAATTTGATTCGTTTGGAGTAAACAATGGGACAGAATGACTTGACTGAGTCATCGGGTCCCTTTATTTGGAGTAAACGTTGGGGCACAATGAGTACTCTATTACGAATTGCTTGAGCTTAAGGACCTACCTCCGCAATTAATTGTAAGGTAAAAATAAAGAATGTGTTTGGAATTGATTTTGTTTTTATTTTTTTATTTTTATTTTTCATGTATTTTAAGAAAAAAAAATAAAAATGTTTTTAAAATGACGTTTGGCGTAATAAAGATAAAAAATAAAAATAAAAATAATTTTTTAATTTAATATAAAAGAAAAGAAAAATAAAAAATAATTTTTAGTCGTTTTTTATTTTTTATTTTCATTTTTTCCTCTCTTGAGCAGAGAGAGAGAAAGAAAGACATTAATAATTTTATTTTTATACTGAAAATAATTTTTTCATAAAACTACTAAACGCATTTTTAAAAATAATTTTTATTTAATATTAAAAATATTTTTATTTTTATTTTTATATAAAAAAAATAAATTTATTTTAAAATAAATTTTAAACGCACCTAAAAATTACCAATTAATATGATAAAAAGTATCATGTACATTAGTCAAGTGGCGAGACGTACATGGAATTTGATTCGCTTGGAGTAAATAATGGGACAGAATGACTTTGACTGAGTCGTCGGGTCCCTTTATTTGGAGTAAACATTGGGGCACAATGGGTACTCTATTGCGTATTGCTTGAGCTTAAGGACTTACCTCACCAATTAATTGTAAGGGAAAAAATAAAAAATATCAATCAAAATGGTAAAAAGTATTATGTACGTTGATTCACTTAAAAATAAATTATTATTATTATTTAATAAAAAAAAAATTATGTCACACGCATTTATATTAAATGGCATAAATAATAGATATAGACATAGATATACGCTCACAAAACCATATATAGTAAACGATGTACTTTTTTCTAATAATGTTATGGTCTCGTTCATTTCACCTATTTGAGTTTAGAATTTGAGTTTTGTTATAGAAAAAAACTCTAAAAAATAGTCATTTAATTTTTTTGTTCCAGTAAAAACTCTCACATATAGTCACATTTTAACTCGAATTAAAAACCCGAATCAACGAACTAAACGCACAACGCACAGGTTGTTGACCAAAGTCATCCACAATTGGAGTTATTTAGGGCTTGTTCAGACATTGACTTTTAAACCTTTTACAAGCAGGGACTGTGCTTCTTTATATAAAAGCGCATGCAAGAAGTTCATTACGCTCAATCTTCTTCTGAGATGATTCCATATATAACTCCTTCACATCTAGAGAGAAAGTTAGAAGGAGAAAAAAAAAGGCAAAAAAAAAAAGACTTTTATTTCAGCGTGTAAAGCAAATTGTTTCATCTTGGTAATCCATCGAGTATGAATTTTCGATTTCAAATATATATATAAAAGACTATCTAATCAAGTATGATCATATCATTGCTGCCTCCTCCGGTGTTGATGCATTTCCTCTTCGCATTGCTTGCTGGTTTTACTCTTCTTGGCGATGCCCAGGATCAAGCAGGTACGATCAGATCTTATTATTATTTTTTTTTTAATGCAAAGAGGAAAATTAATATTAAAAAACTTAGAGTTGTTTAGTTCGCTAATTCGAATTTTTAATTCGAGTTGATATGTGATTTTATGTAAGAATTTTTTACTGTAATAAAAAAATTAGAGATGTGACTGTTTCTGAGAACTTTCTACTACTGTAGCAAAACTCGAATTGATGATTCCGTCTATATATATCAACCATAACTCTAATATCGATCACGCATCTAATTTATCTAGTGCACGGTAAGTCTTAATTAGCATATCCCTATAACATCAATCATATTGTTAAATTTAGCAACAGTAATACATCTATATATTAAAACTGCTTTTAGGCTTTTTTTTAAGAGTTAGTTAGATAAGGTTTATTTATAATTTGATTACATGTACATGTCTAAATGGCTCAGGATTTATCAGCATAGATTGTGGCTTGCAACCTGATGTTACAAGCTATACTGAGAAGGTTACACGATTAAACTTCGTTTCCGACTGGACATTCGTAGACACCGGTGAAAGCAAGATGATTTTAGAAAAATACAAAGGTGAATACCAACGGCAGTACTCCTCTCTTAGGAGCTTTCCTGAGGGAAACAGGAATTGCTACAAAATTAAGGATGTTTCAGCAGGTACCAAATATTTGATCCGAGCAGGGTTCTTGTACGGTGACTATGATAGACGAGATATGCCTCCAAGTTTTGATCTTCACATTGGAAGTGACTTGTGGGATACAGTAAATATTTCAGACTCCAAAAATACTGTGGATAAGGAGATCATTCATATCCCACCACAAAACCATATGCTTGTTTGCCTGGCTAACACAGGTCACGGGATTCCATTTATATCAACTTTAGAACTAAGGCCCTTGGATAATGCAGCTTATCAAACTCAAAGGGCGGTAGGTGGGACGTTGGTTCTTCTAGTGCATACAGGTGAGTTTTCAACCCCAATTATTCAAGGTCTTTTTATTGAAAAATGTTTGGAGGAACAACCGGTACCTGTTAACCACTTCCACTAATAGAACATGGACCCTACTTATAAACACTATGTTGCAGGATCCATCTTCTATAAGTGAGTGATTCTGAGCACCTCCAGTGCCATATAACATCATTTTTTTTAACTATATATAGTAATAAGTGGAGTAAGAAGGCACAATTACTTAACAAAACTAAGAGCCTGAATTAATAATGCCAAATTTTAGCTACAATAATTACTCTACAATGCAGTGATGCTATTTTTATTGTTAAATTTGACAAATGTTATATTTGGTACTAAATTGGTTCTAAATTAATTAGTAGCACGTATAGTATATTTTAAATTTCAGTATTTTTTTTTTGCTAATGTTAAATTTTGTCATTTGATTGTTATTCATTTTTTTTTTAATTTAGTAACTATAAAATTGTCATTTCTAATTTTTAAAAGTTAAAAGTTTGTTTTTACAAGTTTAAAAGCTTAAAATGCACGGCTTTTTTTTTTCTTTAAATAAAGCTTACAATTTCTAACATAAAATGGATATAGCTTTATACATATAAAGAGTCTTTACGGTATTTTATTCCACCGTTGGGGACTGTATTTTTATTATTAGATTAATTTTTCAACTGTTAAATCTACAGTGAAAGCAATTTGTGTGACGCAGTATAAATTTTTAATAAAAACATGCACACATCTGACGCTTAAAAAACTAATCTAATAATTAAAAACAACTTTCCCTATCGGTGAAACAAAATGTTAAGATTCCCCGTACATATATTGTTTTCATATTTTTATGTGCCAATTAATATTTAACGTAGGTACAACAAGGATTTTTATGATCGTTTTTGGTACAAGTGGCAACCTCAAAATTGGAAAACTTTAAGCACAAAACTTCCCATCATTGACTCTGAAGGCATCGATGCACATTACAACATACCAAGTGTAGTTATGAGCACTGCCGCCGCGCCGGTCGCAAATGGTTCTTTGATCTTCCGGTGGCCGCCAAGTGGCATCAGTACTCCAGGTGATCAATATTACTTCTACATGCATTTTGCTGAAATCCAACTTCCCCAAGCTAATGAGACGAGGGAATTCAACATTTTCTATAACGGACGCCTCTTCGACGGACCGATTTCTCCTCCGTACTTACGAACAAGAACGGTGTACAACAAAATTCCGTTTACAGGGCCGTACCAACATAATTTTACGATCTACGAGACTGAAAACTCAACTCTTCCGCCCATCCTCAATGCCTTGGAGATTTAGACCTTCAAACAATTTTCACTGCAAGAAACAGACCAACAAGATGGTAAGTAGTATCCTACTATCCTTAATTTCTATGCTTTATTTGTTTTTATCACTCCAAAAATTAGAGCAGTGTTAGAAATTCCAACGGGACAGTACCCTACAAATGGGCCCCACCCTCTACAGCGACGTGGCTATTGTCCCATAGGAGTTATAAAAGAATAGTCATATTTATCGTGATAGAAATTTATTTTCATCAGGCATAGAAGTAAACTCCACACGTGAGTCCCATCAAGTGGGACCCATCTCTTTACGTGTATTCAGTAAATCCTCATCGACATAAACAGGCCAGTTTTTAGTTTTCCATTATAAAAAGCATTTTCTTAAAAATAAATACGTCTTCGTGAACCTTTTTTTTTTTAAAAAAAAAAAAAAAATGATAAACAGGCCAGTTTTTAGTTTTCCATTATAAAAAGCATTTTCTTAAAAATAAATACGTCTTCGTGAACCTTTTTTTTTAAAAAAAAAAAAAAAAAAATTCTTTCATGAACATAAACATGGTGGTCCGGTTTGGGATTGTTGTATTTTTTTTATAAGCATTCCTTTTACTTAAAATAAAAGCAAAAAGAGAAGTAGAATTAAAAGGTTATAAATTTTAAATTTTCAAAAGAACTTAGAAAAATGATTTTATACACTCTTACTAGACACTATAATTGTGCCGTTTATTGTGTAAAGTACTTTTAGAAGTTTCAAGAGTAATCTCAAACTCACCCTTGTATATTTCTCAATATAAATGCTTTGTTTATCCATGTTATTTTAGACAAAGTTTCTCCCGAAAAACAATCTTAATACACTTACACTTCATTTGGTAAGAGAGAAAGAAAAGATGATGGAAAGAAAACCCATAAAAGAAAGAAATGTGAAGGAAAGAAAAAAAGTTAATTTTTTTTTTATGTGATTTGATACGATGGGAGGAAAGAAAATATGTAATAAGCTAAATAATTATTTTACCAATTATTTAGTATTAATTTAGTTTAAAATAGGGGTAAAAAAAAGTTATTCTAGTTATTAGTGAGAGGATTTAAGTTTTCCACTAATGTTGGAGATGTAAGAATTGGTGAGCGTCACAACAATTTTTATCCACTATATTTTCTCTTCCTTTCTCTCTTCCTTCCTAGCAAACAATTCAGTCTATCATTTTCCACCCAATATCCCTCCACCCACTTCCTTCCTTCCTCTTTTAACCAAACATAGCATTAGGATTTTGAAGTGAGAAGGGACTCAAATTGAGAAAATAGTTGATGTTTTTTCAGAGATTGCTCTTTTTATAATTTTGTTTTTATTTAGTTTTGTTAAGTTGTTTTATTGTTCTTTTTATAATTTAGTTTTGTTAAGTTGTTTTATTGCTCTTTTTATAATTTTGTTTTTATTTAGTTTTGTTAAGTTATTTTTTCTTATTATTTTTTATTTTGGGTTGGAGATCTTTTTGGTTTAAGTTTGTAAGGACCTATTCTTTTTTGTCTAATTTTTTTAATTTTTTTTTAATTTTTTTTTAATTTTTTCGCTTTTGCTAGACCTGGAAATGTTTGTACATTCATGTACGTGTGGGGTGTAATTCAGTTATCTGAGTATTTCTTTTTGGATGCCTGAAAATCATAGTTGATGCTATTGCAAAAGTCAAGTCAACTTATGGCTTAAAGAGAAACTGGCAAGGAGACCCATGTCTTCCCAAAGAGTACTCGTGGGAAGGTCTACAGTGTAGCTATGATGGAGATGATAAGCCTCCAAGAATTATATCCTTGTAAGTATATAGACGTATACTTCAAATACACGGATTTATATATGGGTTATTTATCTTTTTATATCTTGTATTTTATGTTTTTTTTGAAAGTATACTATCATCTTTTAATTTTATTAAAAGTATATTTTCGAATTACAGATGATACATAAATTTATACATTTTCTCGATTAAAACTTGTGACACCAAATTATCCTTAGAAAGGGATTGTATAATTATTTAAAAATAGGGACAGATGTCATATATAAATTTCCTCTAAGAATTATTTAGTTATTTCACAAGACAAAATACAAAAAAAAATATAGATTTATATATTAACTGCAATATAAAAGTATACTTTTTATGTCATATACAAATTTCCTCTAAGAATAATTTGGTTATTTCACAAGACAAAATACAAAAAAAAAAATATAGATTTATATATTAACTGCAATATAAAAGTATACTTTTAATGAGAGTAAAAACTAATGGTATACTTTCTAAATAAATATAAAATAAACCTTTATTATATATTTTGGATCTTAATAATAATACCATTATCTTATGTGTGCCAAGCTAACAAATGTAATGCAATATTCATCAGGAACTTGTCTTCAAGTGAATTGACCGGGGAGATAGCTCCTTCTATAGCGAACCTAACAATGATACAAATTTTGTACGAACCCGCATCATTTTATATCCGATTTGTTTTCCTCTTTTGTTAAAAGTATTAATACACATCGAATTTCCAAATTCAGAGAACTATCAAACAATAACTTTACGGGACGAGTGCCAAAGTTCTTGTCTCAACTGCAACAATTAAGGGTCTTGTGAGTATTTTTGTTTGTGCTGGTAATTTTCAACCTTATAGCTATTGAGCCTAGCCTTTGAATATGGTGACCTAGTGTGATCAATTGACAGAAACTTGGATAACAACCAGCTCAACGGTACACTTCCAGTAGAGCTCATGGCAAAATGGAAGAAATCTTTGCTACGACTGAGGTGAGTTATTATTATAATTATTATTATTTCTTTTAGAAAATATCTATATATTTGGATGCCGTGGTGGACCCAGCTTTTCATTTAAGTGGGGGTGTACACTATTTTTTTTCTTTTCGAACAAGTAATAGAATGAAAGATAAGGAAAATATTTCATTGTATTATTCAAGAGCTACAAAATACACATGTCCAAAAACTCTACAATAGGTGACGATGAGTGTTCATCTTTTGAAAACACTATAATATATGTCTTCATTTTCAATGCAAAAAAAAAAAAAAAAAAAAAAAAAAATTTTTTTTTTTTTTTTTTTTAAAAAAAAAAAAAAAAAAAAAAAAAAAAAAACTTTCTTTCTCGTTGTATTTAAGGTTAGATAAAAAGTTAAAACTAAAAGAGTAAAGTGATATTGAATAGGGGCATATATAGAAATAAATAATATGAGTGAGGGTTTAAGAGTAAAATTACAAAATTTTTAGTTTCTTTTTTCAAAAAAAAAAAAAAAAGTTCAGTGGGGGCCTAGCCCCGCGGCCACCAAGCATCATGTATCTATTATACTATTAGACATATTTATTTAACTATATTAAAATAATGTATTGTATAATAATACAATAATATAATATTTGGTGTGACTATCATATTGTATAAACTATTATAAATGGTAAATTAATACGATTTATGTCGTATTATTGAATACAACTCATTTTTGACGTATTATTGTATTGTATTATTTTATAGCGGATCCATAATTCATGTCGTGGTTAGGCACGACTGGGGCTCGGGGTCGGGCCGACATAGAATCATACTGGAGCCTATAATTATTTTAAAAATTGAGGGCTACAATGAAATTTTATATTTTCTAAAAATTGCATTTTGACTCCTCAATTTTTATAAAATTATATTTTGATCCCAAATGATTTTTAGAAATTTATTTTGACCCTAAAATTTTTTTTAAAATTATATTTGACCCCAAAACTTTTGAAAAATTATATTTGACCCTATAACTTTTGAAAAATTATATTTTAACCCAAAATTTTAAAAAATTTTTTATTTTGACCTCAAAATTTTTAAAATTTTACATTTTGATTTCTTGTACAATACGTCATGACACCAAATACTATATTATATTATGACTATGCAATACAATACAATACAATATAATATAATACACCTTATACAATACAATACAAATTACCAAACATGCCCTTAACAAAGTATTCAGTATTGTGTATGAAGTTGTAATTGATATTCTCAGCAATGCAATCAAATACTTTTAAGTTATCCCAAGTTTTAACCACCTAAAATAAACTGATGACCATATTCAAAGTCCTATTATTATTATTTTTTTTTTAGCAAATAATGATTTAACGTCTATCTAATTTGATCTGTTTCTAATATGAACAATTTTTGTTGCTAGTGTAAACGGGAATCCAAATTTATGCGCATCAGTTTCTTGCAAAAAGAAGCATTCTGTAGTTCCAGTAGTAGCATCAGTTGTTGGAACTTCTCTCCTCTTGTTGGCCGTAGCAGCATTAGTCCTCTGGTGGCGGCATCTTTTAAGGAATAGATCACATGGTAAGTCCGATGTACGAAAAATGGTTAGGAATACTACAGTGTTAAACAGCGCCATTAATAGAAAGTGGTACCTACCATTTTAAAGAACGTCATCGATGCCAAATAACATTGTTTCAATACATAATATCCGCGTTACTTTTTTTACTAGACAAAAAAAAAGTGATTTTGGAATTTGATGTAAGAAAGGAAAAAAGAAAAACTAAATATCAACTTAAAAATTTAGGAGGAAAAAGCAACCGAATAAACTAGGCACATGAATGAATTATTGATGCTGTTAATTTACATTTTATACTCTTAATCCTGATCTCGATGAACTTATAATTAACAGGTTTAGCGAAGGCAAAATTCACTGTTGGTCAATATTCATTGGAGTTAAGGAACGGACAATTTTCATATAACTACAACGACGTACTAAGGATCACCAACAAGTTTGAGAGGGTGATGGTAAAGGCGGATTTGGAACAGTTTATCATGGTTATGCAGACGATACCCAAGTAGCTGTGAAAATGCTCTCACCATCATCGGTTCAAGGATATCAGCAATTTCAAGCAGAGGCACGTTATAAAAATTAGGATTAATTACAAAAATTTCTCTTAAATTATACCTCTTGTAATACTTTGCTCCTGAAATTTAAAACGTAACATCTATTCCCCCTGATAATGAAATATTAACAAAAAAGCCCCCTCTATTACTTATTAGGTTTTTAATTGAAATTAACATTTAATTTACTATTTTGAGGGAATTTTAAGCAATTCTATGGTTTAAAATTCAATTTGAATTTAAACTAATTTAAATATTAAAAAAACTTCATAAATTTTTTTATTCTACCAAAAAAGATTCATAAAATTTTTAACTTACATTCAATTAATAATGAATGTATTATAATTCAAAGTTTAAATTTAAATTAATTTTAAATTCAAACTAAATTTTAAACAATGGAGCTACTAAAGTACCTAAAATAACAAATTAAATGTCAATTTCCGTTAAGAAAACTTAACGAAGATGGCTTTTTTTGTTAACATTTTATTGTTCAAGGATAACATATGTTACGTTTCAAAAATTGAGAGACAAAGTGTTATAATGGGTATAATTCAAGGAGAATTTTTGTAATTAATTCTAAAAATTATTTCTAGCTAGTTGTGTTGCTTTACAATGGTTATTGAACTGGCACTTAATATTTAAATGACTAATATTTTTATTGTCGTAGATTTTATTTATTTATTTAAACGAGATAACAGTAGTTTTCTTTTTAATGACAGGTCAGCATTCTGCTGAGAGTTCACCATAGGAATTTAACAGCTCTTGTTGGTTATTTCACTGATGAGAACAACACAGGGCTTATATACGAGTATATGGCCAACGGTGACTTGCAATCACATCTCTCTGCAGGTTTGTTGATTCAATAATTAAAACAAAAGAAAAAAAACAAGATATACATACTCTTTAAATATAGGTGCAGATATATTATTTGCAAGATTAATAATGTGAGGGATACTAATTTAAATACCAATTTTTGTACTAACTATTAAGTTGTCGTTCCTTTATCAATAGGTACAATCTCTTATTTTAATGTGACAATTTTTTGAATATTTACCAATTAAATAATGACAACTCATGAGTTCACATTACAAGACATGTGATTAAAGTTGATGTTCCTAGCATTATTCATTATTGCAAATGTAAGCTTTCTCATCATCTAAAGATGTATGAAAGATAATTTAAAGACGTTTATATAATGAATGTGCAGATAATAGTTCTGTTAATATTTTGAGCTGGAAAAACAGACTTCAAATAGCAATTGATGCAGCACAAGGTTAGCAAATAGACCAATTCTGTTTTTCAATACTTCTAAATTTTGTAATTCACTTTCACCATTTTCTTTTAAATGAGTGAACTTCAATATTTTAATACAGGACTGGAGTATCTCCATCATGGCTGTAAACCTCCTATAATCCATAGAGATGTGAAAGCCGCAAATATCTTGTTAGATGAAAAGTTTCAAGCCAAACTATCCGATTTTGGCATATCTAAAACTTTTCCAACTGATGATGGACTGACTCATGTATCAACTGTAGTTGCTGGTACTCCTGGGTACCTTGATCCTGAGTAAGTTAAATTTCTTCTATTTCTCCTCTTCTTTTATTTCTAAAAGAATTACTTTAGAGATTTGGTATTGAACCGTGTTCCATAATCTTCATTCACATGTTATACAACTGACAAAATAATTATTCATAAAAAGTACAATTCAAGTAGCACATGTGATTTGGTTGCAGGTACTACAAGTCAAATAGGTTAAATGAGAAAAGTGATGTTTACAGCTTCGGGATGGTCCTATTGGAGATCATTACTGGGAAACTTGTAATATCGAAAACCAACGATAACACTCGTCTTAACGAATGGGTAACTTTGATTCTTCAGAAAGGGCTTATCAATAGCATTATTGATCCAAGGTTGCAAGGAAACTTCCATGTTGCCGGTGCTTGGAAAGCAGTGGAAATAGCAATAAATTGTGTATCTTTAAACTCAACCGAACGACCGACAATGACTCAGGTGGTCGGAGAACTAAAAGAGTGTTTGAATGCTACGAAAGTTGCTAATTATGCAGAGGAGACCAAATCAAAAGATTCAAGTGATCAAGCGATTCCTTTGAATGATCTGCTCACTTATGGCATAGCTTCTCAACCCTCAGCTAGGTAACTATTCTTGTGTATGTTATAATCTACGATAAGAAATAGTAGTTTGTGAGACCTGATACCATTTTATGCTACGCTGTATCCTACTGTTTCTAATCCAATATTTGTACTTCTAATTTCTGCATATTCGTATAAGTATTTTTCTCCCTACTTTTTCTAGCAAAAACACGTCCGTTGAGGAAAATGACACCTAAAATTTTTATTCCCACTTATTCTCGCAATCTTAAAACTATTATCATTAAATACACTCTTCTTGTAGACTTTTGTCTACTCCTTTTACTGTACTTTCATTTAACATATAGAATTGAGAAACATAACATGACATTAATTCAACATAATATATTGACGTTGAAAAGATGTAACACCAAAATAATCAATAATATACATATATATTATATTTTTATCAATTCCCCTTGGTCGTTACTCGTTAGCAATTTAGTGTGTTACCACTGGTAACCTAATCTATGACTGCTGGTTGCCTGAGTCACTTTTAGTATGTTATCAAAGGTCACTGTCTGAGTCACTTTTAGTATGTTATTCACGTAGGAATTTAGGTCATTTTCAGTCGTTGGAGTCGCACGCTAATTTATCAACGTTGACATGGTCGAGAATTGGAGGTCAACACGGAGTAATTTGGTAGGTTATATAATACGTTACCAAATTTCGAAACCACACGGAGTAATTTAGAGGCATGGAATCCTAATTCCCCTTGATTTTACTCATTTTAATTTCCACAATATTGTCTCTTTTTTTTTTTGTAAATTGGTTTTTGTAATTTTATCTGCCATTTGTCCCCATAATTTATGTCTTTAATTTGAAATTGTAAGTGTTTAATGGAACTTGCTTAACGTACTAAATAAGTGTCTGCCTCATGCTTGAGTCAATCCAAAAAAAAAAAAAAAGTGTGAGCATTGTGTTTTTCTAGTAGTAAATTCGTTAAATTGGAGCACAACAAAACAAAAGGTCTTGCCTCTTGGATATTAGTGTGCACAATTGAGCATTTGCTTCTACTACTACAGGAATGATTAGCTTTGATCATTCATTGTTCAAAGAAAATTGGCATATATGCAGGTTCCCTATACCATGGGGGTGGCAAATCAATGTGTCATTTGGTTGAAAGGTTTAAACCATAAAATTTGAACAGAAATTCAAATTTTTATGAGAGAAAACACGTAGAAAGGATTTGTACCGTAGTTTAATCTCAAAACAAACGCATCCAGTGTTTCAACAAAATACAAAAACAAACAAACAAAACAAAACAAAAACGAAGAAGCTGTTTTTTTTTTTTTTTTGGCGAAAAACAAAAAACACTTTCTTGTTTTTCGCGTCATGTATAGACGCACATATAAACAAATAGAACTAGACTCATGCAAATGCAGCTAGTTTAGGCTTGGGAGGATCAACCAAGCAAATATCCAGCAAATTGTCAACTGATGTGTATTTGTGATCAGGATATAACTTGGAGGCTTCTAAGTCGTCCTCCGTGAGTTCAAAGCTCATCTGATCTCCTTTAATGAATATGTTGTGAAGAATTGCTACTGGTATGTTCTCTGGAAAAGGCAAATCTGTAGCCACCAAAAAATTTTTTTAAAAATAATAGTAGTTAAAAATTTGAGATTTGAGAAAATTAAGAAATTTCCCTCCCTTAATTCATTTTTTATTTTTGTATTTGTACCTTTTAAATTAATATATAGATGGGGGAAATAAAGACAGAAATCTTATAATATTACGAATAATACATGCTATGCATGTACTAGGAATAATAAATACGTGGCTTGTACTAATTATAGGAAAAGCAAAAATAGAAGAAAGATAACAATTTCCTCGTATATGGTGATCAGATTTTTTTTCTTTTCTTTTTTCGGTATGGTTGCCTAAGTCTATTATATATGTTCTTATACCATTTGTATTCAACTTTCAAAGCATCTTTGGAAGGATTTTTTAAGGACCTTTACCACATTGTAAAAAAAAATCTTTTCGATTGCAGACAAAATTTGTGTGGAAGACAGCCTATTCGAAAAGTGTACACGTGATTCAAATTATATTAACCAAATTAAGTGCGACAGCCAGTATATCACTATATGTATGCGCGCGCGAGCACATATTACCAAAGGGTGGTTCAAATATTGTTCCTTGATATATATATATATATACATATATATATATATATTGCAAATAAATTGTTTTTATAGCATTTTATGCATTCAAAACTAATAACTCATTTGTCACGTTGTTTTAAATGAAAGCGGATGGTGGTTCAAATACTGTTCCTTGATATATATATATATATATATATATATATATATATTTCAAATAAATTGTTTTTATAGCATTTTATGCATTCAAAACTAATAACTCATTTGTCACGTTGTTTTAAATGAAAGCGGAGGGTGGTTCAAATACTGTTCCTTGATATATATATATATATTTCAAATAAATTGTTTTTATAGCATTTTATGCATTCAAAACTAATAACTCATTTGTCACGTTGTTTTAAATGAAAGCGGAGGGTGGTTCAAATACTGTTCCTTGATATATATATATATATTTCAAATAAATTGTTTTTATAGCATTTTATGCATTCAAAACTAATAACTCATTTGTCACGTTGTTTTAAATGAAAGCGGAGGGTGGTTCAAATACTGTTCCTTGATATATATATATATATTTCAAATAAATTGTTTTTATAGCATTTTATGCATTCAAAACTAATAACTCATTTGTCACGTTGTTTTAAATGAAAGCGGAGGGTGGTTCAAATACTGTTCCTTGATATATATATATATATATATTTCAAATAAATTGTTTTTATAGCATTTTATGCATTCAAAACTAATAACTCATTTGTCACGTTGTTTTAAATGAAAGCGGGCTTGATAATAACATGAAAGTCCTAACACTATTCAATCGAAATACAAATGAAATCTATACCTACCTACTAATTAAGTGAGAATAAGTTTCTAAGTTTCTAAGTGGGAAGATATGTGCAAAACGTTCGTAGGGGTTTTCACAAGGGGCTTCTTCCCCTTCATTCGACGACACATTTGTTTTTTAAACTTTTTTTTTTTTCATGTTGTTTGCTTTAAATCTTTTTTCCTCTTTCCTCTTTTTCTTTTTTGTCTTTTTTAAATATCAATTTGTATAACCATTAATTTAAATGAGTCGTCGCGTTTTTGACTAATAATTAATAAAGACACTAGATATATAAATAATCTTACTCTCGGAGAGCTTGATAATCTCGTCCTCAGGAACATGACTTCTTTTGAGGGTACGACATGTCTTTTTTTCCCACAAAGCTATTAAATCCAACTGAGATGTAATGTTTCCAGTGGGCCTATATATGATGACACGATTGGCCACCCTTGAATCAGTCGATGCTTTCACTGTGTAAGCGGCCACATCTTCCTCGTAATTCAATACAACTACCGATCAACAAAAATTTAAGACATAAGGTTAGAAAATTGTTTTTCAGCCCTGTCGGACTTCATACGAACTAAACAATTTCTTAAATATTTTCGAGGTAACTTTTCGAAAGTGGAATAAATTCTTTTTACTCTCTTTCATCTTTTCTAATCATAGGATAATTGGTGGAAATAGTTTTCTAAACTCTTTAGTAAGTGATCATTTGGTTATTGCTTAATAATTTAATAATAGATTCGACCGAATTAGAAATGTCCGTTTAGAATGAGACAAAAAATAGCACATGAGGCACAAATCGCCAACTATTAACTAAATTTAATAGACTTTTTTTCTTTTTGTTCCTTTTTTTTGGGAAGAATTTCAAGTGTAGGATTTGGACCAGTCAATCCGATTGAGTGGTACAAATTCCATGACATGAGTCTAAGGATGAAAATATCGACATTTTTACAGATATTTCAGTGGAAATTTTCGTATTTTAGAAGTACCGATATGAAAATAGGGGTATAGTATATTTTTAGCGTAATATCTTGAAATTTCTACAGATATTTCCGTAAATATTGATATTTTCACGGAAATTCCATTTTTGAGGAAAATGTAGTGTTAAATGACCGAATATCATGAAAATTTCACTGAAATATTAGTAAATTTCCATAAAAGTTTCCGTAACTTTATATATATATATATATATATTTTTTTTTTTTTATTTATTTATTTTACTTTTCAAAAAAAATATAAAATATGGAATGTCCAAAATTATATGAGGAACTATTCAAACTCCATGTCTTAGTAGCAATACAAGTTTAAACTAAGAATGTGTTCAAAATACCTTCCAACCTCCTAGAAGCTCCTTTTGGTGTTGATAATTTATCATCATGTATGAAACCATATATGTACAGTATATGTATTATGTTGACTTTCAGCTATTTTACTTAATTTGTGAACATGTGCTAAGTATTTATGGTATTATGATTACACTTTACCTTGCATATTTATCAAATAATTGGTATTTTGATTGAGAGTTTCATCTAATTAATGTATTATTATCTATTTTAATATTTTTAAAGTCTCATTCGAAAATAGTGTTTTAGTATGAATTTTTATTTTTTATGTCAATTTCAACCGATATCGATATTTTCATAAAATTTAAGTACCAATATTTCCATAAATATCGATATTTTCATCCTTGCATGAGCCTTGTTGGAAAAAAAAAAATTTGTTGCAAAAAAAACCTTTGTAATATCGAAAAGGTGATATATCTATATATATATGTGTGTGTGTGTGTGTGTGTGTGTGTGTGTGTGTAAAACGTATTATAATTAGTCAAATAGTACTTGTTAATAGTTGGAACGTGAGAATTTACCCTTGGCATGACCAGTGCCATAAATGATCACTTCATCAAGCTTTTCATGTGGACGGAGCAAATAATCAATGAAATATGCTGAAAAAGAGTTGGCTGAAACATAAGTGTAGG